AGCATCCTTTCTAGTGTCAGTAGGTTATGTCTTTATTAGTACAATAACAACTTGAGGAACTCATAAGATTCATTACTGAGCAACAAGATGTCACCATGAATCATAAGACCTTCCCAAGGTGGGTTAATTGGGAAGCCTGCTTACTTTTAAAGTAAACTGTCAAATGTGACCTCTAGCCTATCACACCTCATACCCATTAGTCTGGTTATTATAAAAAATATGAAAGATAAGTGTTGGCAAGGATGTGGAGAAAATGAAACCTTTCCACACTGATGGTAGGAAAGTAAATGAGTACAATCATTATGGAAACAATATGGAAATTCCTTAAAAAACTAAAAATATAACTACCATATGATCCAGCAGTCCCACCAAGGGGTATATACCTAAAAGAAATGAAATCAGTATGTTGAAGAGATATCTGCACTTCCACAATCATTGCAAAATTATTCACAATGACTAAGGTATAGAATCAATTTAAGTGTTCATTACCAAATGAATGGATACAGAAAATTATATATAGATATATATCTCCAATAGGACAGTATTCAGCCTTTAAAGAAGAAAATCCTGCCATTTGCAACCCCATAAATGAAACTGGAGGACATTACACTAAGTGAAATAAGCCAGCCACAGAAAGACAAATGCCTTATGATCTTACTTCTATGTGGAATTTAAAAGAGGACTCACAGAAGCAGAGAGTAGAATGGTGGTGGTTACCAGGGGCTGGTGGTAAGGAGGGCTAGAGGATGTCTGACAAAGTATACAATGTTTCAGTTAAACAGGAGGAGTAAGTTCAAGAGATCTATCATACATAACATGGTGACTACAGTTAATAACAATATATTATGTACTTGAAAAAATACAAAGAGAAATTTTAAGTATTCTTGCCACAAAAAGTATGTAGAGTAATAAATCTGTTGAATAGCTTAATTTAGCCATTCCATAAAATATGCATGTATCAAAACATCATGTGGTATACCAAAAATATATACAATTTTTGTTTGTCAACTTTAAAAAAATGTTTCAAAGGAAGACTGGCATTTTCTGCCTTTTGGCCTCAGAATATAACAGATCATCAACCATCTCTATGTAATGATTTGACTCTGGTTCAAAATGGGATAGCCAGAAAACAGTGAAGAAACACTATTTTTTAGGACAATCGTAGTGATATACATTTAGGGATGCAGGCATGCCAGTGATTTCTGTCACAGAGAGGCCAAGTTTTGTTGGATATCAATCAAAACAGCCTTCAGAGAATGAAATACATCTGCCAGGCTTGTCAAAAGAAAAATGCTTAGGGTCTCCCTACTAAGTTACTTAGAGAAGAGAGTTTAAATGAAATGATGCATTCTCTGGATCCCTGGGGAACAAAACACAATCAAATGTAGTTTACTCTTTTGGATGTCTACAACTGCTGTAAAGTGAACTACTATTATCTCCATTTTCAGATGAGGAGACTAAAGTGCAAGAAGCCTGATGGGAGAAGGTCTTGGTGTGTGAGATGGAGTATATGTGGTTTGCTGAGAGGTGATGGCAACCAACACTGAGCCATCCCCAGGCAGAAAACTGCTACAATA